GCTCTCCTTTCCCACTAATAGAAATGTCTACATAGATCAAATAACACCGGTTTAATCAGCCATACCCCGTTTTGTTTTTTTGTTGTTATCATATTTGATTTTAGGTACTCAAACTATCACTGAACTTTAGGAAACATTCAACACTCCAACATGATCACACTGAGGTTTGTCACACGTGGAGTAGGTTCCAGGGAAAAGAGGTTCGTGACAAAGTGGATGAGAACACCATTTGTCCGAAGTATTAGTCAACATTCTTGTTTTCGATTTAGCCATATCTCATATGTATTCTGTAGTAGGCAAACATCTAATATCCCGGGTTTGTTTATGTTTTACACTTTTACAGATTATATAACATATTGGTTTAAATCAATTTTGACAAAGTTTGTTAAGTTAACATGTTATTTACTTCACCTGTTAATTGGTTTAGTTTGAACTCGCCTTACCTACCTGTGTTCCAGGGACAAAAGGAGGAAATATAGTTTCACTTCCTGTATTTATAGCTTCCTGGCTAATCTGAGGTCACAGGAAGTGACCAGGTGAAGAAGGGGGAGAATATTGGTAATTTAATAAAGCTGATTTTAGAGTGTGTTTATAGAGAAATGGATTTGTTGTAATATGTATCGAGTATACACTGCAGAGTTTTACTGCTAGGAAGGAGTAGCAGTATAGAAATGTTTGTCTCACCTACCTAATGAAATAGTCCAGGTGTAAATGAACTATTTAAGCAGATGAACACAGGTGTTCAGGGAAAAGGACCAGATCAGTGTAGCTGTGTGCATGTTCAACTTAATTTCACTTATGTTTATTTGAACTGAGTTAACTATGGAGTTGAGTTTCTTATTTATTTTTTGTAAACTCACTCGCTACACTGGACAGCATCGGTCTCCTGCCATTCTTTAGCCGCTTAGGTCAAGTTCTACCACATGGTTTAAAAGTACTAATCGGTTAAATGTCTTACCGACAAACATTGTCTTTCTACAGGATTTTACTTTCTACAATCCAAGACACACACTCACTTCTCCACAGTTCCTTCACACGCTCTCTGCCTGTTACAACTCAAAACAAAGAGGCATAGCCATATTAATTAACAGAAAAATTCACTTCACTGTTAGCAACACTATTATAGATCCAGAAGGTAGATTTATAATACTTAATTTATGTATTCAAAATATGGATCTGCGTATTGCTAGTATATATGGACCATATGTTGATGACCCCTGCTTTTTCACACCTTCTTTTCTTCACTCTCAGATCACTCTAACACAGGGGTGGGCAACTCCAGGCCTCGAGGGCCGGTGTCCCTGCAGGTTTTAGATGTGTCCTTGAACCAACACAGCTGATTTAAATGGCTAAATTACCTCCTCAACATGTCCTGAAGTTCTCCAGAGGCCTGGTAACGAACTAATCATGTGATTCAGGTGTGTTGACCCAAGGTGAGATCTAAAACCTGCAGGACACCGGCCCTCGAGGCCTGGAATTGCCCACCCCTGCTTTAACACCACACTTATAATAAGAGGAGACTTCAACCTGGTATTTAATTCAGAAATTGACGGGATCGATATAGCAGTGAGTCAAAGTAAATAGCAGATACTCTTAAACAATACATGGGTGATTTTGCTCTTTGCGGTGCTTGGCGTTCACATCACCCAACTGTCAGGGATCACACATTTTTTTCACCAGTAAAAAAGTTTGTTTTTTTTGTTTTTTTAATTTCATCAAGCCACTAACGGCAGCAATCTGACAAAATATAGATATCAAAGGAGTTGAAACTACCAAATTTTTATCACGACTTCTTATCCAATAGATTGTTATATGTTTCAAAATGGATTAAACCAAGCTTATTAGGCGTCCCATGGCTGGACTTAGAACAAGCATTCTGTGGAAAAGTAAAAATCTCTCATTTGCTTTTCATCAGCTACAAATCATCATAACTGCTTTAAACCCCTCAACATAAACACTTATCTGACAGCCTGGTGGGAATTCTTAAAAATAACTTCTTAAAAATAACCAAACCTTCACTTATCCATGTAAACTAACACCCATTTGGAAC